GTGAGAGGGGGGTGCAGCCCCTGCCGCCGTGTGTGCCCTCTGTGGGGGTAGGGTGCTGCTCCTGCTGCCGTGCCGGGGCAGTGCCCACCCTGGGGCCCCGCTCTGGCTCTGTGACCACGGTGCACACCCACGGACGAGCGCGGGGCAGGCATTGGTGGGACTCCAGTGCGTAATAAATGGCTGAACAACTTCCTTGTTTTGTTTCACACCTAGTTTTGTACTGAATTAATCTGGCGTGTCGTTGGTGACCTCTTTAGGAACAGAAGTGTCTGCTGTGGCGTGTTGATAGCGGCTGGCGCTGGTTTGGCATGTTGCCTGGCACGCTGTGAAGCAGGACAGGTTTGTCTTTCCATCCCGGCAGCCCGTGTGGGATTGCCCTTCAGGTCCCCGAGGAGGATGTTGGTGTTGGAGAGCTGCAGCACGCTCGAGGCACGCGTGTCTCAGAGCGATGGGACGTGTTCTGAGGGTGAGGAGAACATGAGTCCGCGTAGGGCACGACCCAGGTTGGGCAGCGGGGACCTCCCGCTCCCCTGGGCTGGCAGAGTGAGCGTACCTCAGGAAGGGGAGAAGGGAGCACCCCTTCAGTCAGTGTGTTTCTGCAGAGTGTTTTTCATTAAGAAAAGAACGTTTAGTCACTGATGTTCCTGTTTTCCCCCTCAGTCTTGCAGGAGACCTAGCTGCTGCTCACCTAGGGGTGTTCTGATTATCAGCTCACGTTCCAGCTCTTCTGCCGAAGAGCTTATGCCACAGCCAGCCAGAGCAAGGGCTGCTCAACACGTTATAACCTGAAGTTTAGAAATACCTATTTCAGTCTGTAAAGTCTCTCTTCTAATGTCACCTTTGCTAACCACCTACTGACCATTAGTGTTGGAATGATGGTAAAGTTACATTGCAGACTAATTACATTTCTCTTGCTTTTGCATCGGTATCTTCGTACTGTTTCAAGTCATGTCTTTTAAGCTGTTAATGTCTTTGTATCTACTTGCCAAGTCTTTTCTGACTTCACTGCCATGAAATCTCTTGTGAAGGGGTTCTCTGGAACCTGTCCTCGTGCGATGCAGTGAAGATGACAATCATTAGAGACGCTCTGTCAACACTGACAAACACTGTGATCGTGCCACATTCTGGATGGAACAGCTCTTCCTTCGATGAGGATCATAAAATCAAATTTCAGACTTCCCTGGTTCTGCGCAACACGACTGGATGCCTGAGGTAATTTGCTGTTCTAGAAAACTCTTTTACAGAGTACTTGTGTTACCCAACAGGTTCTTTTCAAACTGTAATTTTTAAGACAAAAGAGCTGTTGCATTCTATAAATTACATACAGTTCTATCATTTAGGCACCTTTTGCGTTTGTTTTTTATTTTCCATATTAGAAAAATAAAGTACAAGGTCTCTAAGAGATGTTAACTATGATGGCTAGTGGTTACATTTTGGGTTTTTTTATAAATTACAATCAATGCACTTTTTCCCTATTACTGCAGCTTTTATATTATGTGTGGGGCTTATGAATATTAGTTAGGAAAAAAAGTGTGCATTTGATTATTCTTTGTTGTTGTATACATTTAAATAATGATGTTTCTGTAAGCTTACATGCCAGTAAAGGTGGTTTTCATTATTCCCTTTGTGGATTTCTCCAACAGCAGTAAGAGGAAAAAAAATATTTTCAGGATAATGAAAGGCAAACCTAAAATATTTGAAAAGAGAATTCAGGGGCGAGGGGTTGCGTTGCGAGTCATTTGTGTTCACTCGTAGGTTTGTTGATAATAGTAATTTCTTAGATTTCAAGTTGTGTTCCATGAAACAGCAGGGTAAAGCCATTGGGTTTAAACAGAAATGGAATTGCTTTTTATTTGCTGGTAACCCTTCTGAACTTCAAATATTTTCATAAAGTACTGGTTTCATAAAGTCCTGTCTTGTTCCCGGGTGTTGGGGGATGTTTCACACGGCTTTGAGTGGCTCCTCCGTGGGCACCCGGGGTGGCCCTTCTCCCCAGGCTTCAGGCTCTGCGGTGGGCTGGCCAGGAGGGCAAATACTTTACATCCTTTGCTGCTTGTTGTAAGACACAGCGCAGACTTTTCCTTTCCCCACACACTAATTTACAGAGTTGTGCATCTCTCTCTGCGGCACTATTAACATTTGTGTTAACGAGGCTGCACCACAGAACAGATGACCGAATGGGTCCAATTTAAAAGAGGCCACAAGGGTATTTCTAGCACAGACAAGCTCAGCAGTCTGCTCTACAGCGCACAGAAACCACAGAGTAGGGCTTGTACAACGGAGAGGGCTTGGGCTGGAGAAGTCTCTGGGAAGGGGCTCTAGTTAAGGCCGGTTTTGTCAGTGAATCGTCTCAGTTATCAATCAGACATATAAAAACCCTCCTGTGTCTGTGGGACGCCTGTCTGTGGACACGCCGTGCTCCTCTGTCGTTTGACCCTGCAGGAACCTGAGCTCGGCGGGCGAGGAGGCCCGCAAGCAGATGAGGGCGTGCGAGGGGCTGGTCGACTCGCTGCTCTACGTGATCCACACCTGCGTGAACACGTCGGACTACGACAGCAAGGTGTGTGTGTGCTCCGTCCCAGAGGCCTTCAGTGCGGAGCTGTCCCATAGGATCTTCCTGGGAGTTGTGTGGTGTAACGTGGCACTGTGATGTGCTCAGCCCGACTGGTCATCTCCCCCAGCCCCAGTTTACTGATGCACAATCAAATTCCCTTGCATAATACAGAGTAACTTGTTCTGTGCTTTTTGCTTTCGTCGGTGTTGAAGTACTCATTTCTTAATAAAATAATAATAGGCTTTTGTGCTTTCATTTTCAGAATACTGAAAAAATAAGCCACAAATAGTGGAGATTACAGTTATAACTATTTTCAGATTTGCAGATCTCAAGGGGAGAGATTGCAGCTTTCCCAGAGGAACAGACAGAGCAATGCCCCAGAATTAGAATATAGTGCTTGTACTCCAAATGCCTTTTTACCTCTGCTTAATTGGTTTGCTTTCCTTTATCACCGTGAGAGAAAGTAACTCCTCCTGTGACTTCTTTCTGGTTTGGCTGCAGACGGTGGAAAATTGCGTGTGTACCTTGAGAAACCTTTCCTACCGTTTGGAACTGGAGGTACCTCAGGCACGTCTGCTGGGAATCAATGAGCTGGATGACTTGTTAGGGAAGGAATCGCCTAGCAAAGACTCGGAGCCGAGCTGCTGGGGGAAAAAAAAGAAGAAGAAAAAAAAAACTTCTCAGGAGGATCAGGTTTGCCATTTTCATTGTATTACAAATACATTAGCTGCAGTTTAGCTGGTGATGGGTGGGAATACATAGCCTGAAGAAAAAACATGTCTTGAACAAAAATGTAGAGGTTTCATCTAGTTACTAGTCTACGTTCCTTTCGTAGTGGGATGGAGTTGGCCCCATACCAGGATTTTCCAAGTCCCCTAAAGGGGTGGAGATGCTGTGGCACCCCTCCGTGGTCAAGCCGTACCTAACGCTTCTAGCGGAGAGCTCCAACCCAGCCACTCTGGAGGGCTCTGCAGGATCCCTCCAGAACCTTTCTGCGGGCAACTGGAAGGTATACAAAATCCCACACTTCTTCCTCTCGTGTTTTACCTGGTTTTTTAATAAGCTATTGGAATGTGTTTAGAAGGAACACAGTTTTCAGCATGTGTCTGAGCATTTCCCTCTGGTGTGTGTCATTAGTGCCTGTGTGCTGCAGTGGAGTTACTTCCACAGTGAAAAGCAGCAGCAGGGGTGGTGGACAGGAGGAGCAATATGGACACTGGCCTTGAAACTGGTACCTTTTATATGACAGAAGAAGCTTCCTTCCAGTCCAGATTAGATCAAAATAATCTTTTAGCATCTTCTAGCTGAAAGTTCTGGTGGGAAGGTACTGTCAAAATAAGACCAACATAAATACATTGATTGTATTTGCTTTATAATTATATTGTTTATTTCCATGTATTCTTTACCTGTTACCTTTGCATACAATGTGTTACAAAAACACCCCACAAGAACATTTTATTAATGTTATGTACTTGTCATGGAAAGATTAAAAAAAACCCACGTTAACTGCTTCCTTTGCTTGTAGGAAAACAGCTAAGACTTTTATTTCGTCACCATTATAAAATTAGTCTTTAAAAAGAAACCCAACAACAAACAAATGGACAAAACTGTTCTCTTTTCAGTAATTTGTCACCATTAAGATATTTTGTCTGTTAGACTTCTTTTAAACCTTGCTTTTTAAGAGGAATGAGTGAAAAACAACACAGGACCAACCCTTTAGACCGATAGGAAAGACACACATTTAACATGTCGCCTCTTCCTGGGGAAATGTCCCAACACAGGCAGGAATCAGAGTCTAGTACGAGGTTATTCCAGTCGGAAGCTGCAGTGCCTTGTGAGTGATGGCAGTTTTGTGACAGTTTGCAGCGTACATTCGAGCTGCTGTGAGGAAGGAGAAAGGGCTGCCCATCCTGGTGGAGCTGCTGAGGATGGACAACGACAGGGTCGTCTCGTCCGTGGCAACGGCCTTGAGGAACATGGCGCTAGACGTGCGGAACAAGGAGCTCATTGGTAAGTGCAGAGCTGTGCTGAAGAAGGCAGGATCACCAGCAGGTCAGAGCTGGCACTGGGAAGGTGCTGGGATGGGGCAGTACCAGCAGAAGGAGCACTCTGGATGGCACTGCCAGCACTGTGTCTGCCGTGTCAGGGGAATTCATCTTCCTGATGGCTGTAGCTTCTCAGAGGAACACTGATGTTTGTTTGCCTGTAGCCGTCTTGTGGTGGTCTCTTTACAACAGCTCAAAGTCACCTGAGCTAAACTCAGCTGGACAGGAAACTGTCAGTACAAAATATGCTGGAAAACACAGCTCTGCCTCTTTGGAGCTCATTGGTAGCTCTGCTGCCAGTACCTAACTAAATCTTTATCAAATAAAAAAGTTCCGTTGTTGTTACAGAAGCATTTTCTATGTTGTAGACTAGTGGGATAAATAAAGAACAACTATTTATACAGATAAGAGTATAGTTATTTTCAGAAAGATAAATGCAGGTGAGCAGAATCTCATTGTATATTTCTGAAGCTTCTCCATCTTAGGTGTTCAGAACATGTTTTCATGCAGTGTCAGTCACTGCACACATAACAAAACAGTAAGAGAACACTGTTCCATGGCACCAGCCATACACAGCTCATGCTCAGGGAATGCTCTTTTTTCAGGAATTTTTTCCCTTCCTGGCAGAACTTCCCAGTTCAGGAATGCACCTGCAGCTCTTCCCTCATCCTGTCAGAGCCTTATCAATGGAAGATTTATTGGCTTTCCAGACAGGCTCTGAAGCTGACCTTTGTATAAAATATTTTGAGACATGAAGTGAGTTACAAATTACCCCAAGTTAACAATCTCCAAGTCTACTGCTGCTGGTGGGGGCAGGAATAATGGGTTTACGTGGTCTAAACTCTGAAGGAAATAAGAAACTGGGGACTCTGACAAATCACAGTATAAATTGGTTGATGCAAACAAGGGCTGATGAGGTGGTTTAAAGATGGGCAGTGACAGGCTACCACTGGTGATAGTTTTCCAGGGTGTTTGAAATGTTGTTCCCTTCGTTTACAGAATTCCTTTATGGGATTATTTTTCCCTCCTCAGCCATGCAAATAGCTAATGGCTTTGTGTAAAGCTTGTTCATTATCCACTGTTGTGTACCAATAACTGAAATCTGAAAGAGCTGAGATCTGATCTATAAGGGGGAACAAATACGGTGAGCAGAATGTCTGAAAGGAAAAAAAAGTCCACGTTATTTCTTTAACCCTCCCCAAAACGAAGCCCAAGAACATGCAGCACTCCTTCAATCGTAATAAGGAGCGTAGCGTTTCTCCTTGAATGATTCTGCTTTCTCCCAATAATTCCCGATTACAGACACTCCTGTTTTAATGCAAAAATGCAACTCATGTTTTTAAACTAAAAGGAAAAAAATAATTCCAAATTTGATCTCTAGTCTCTCTTTACTCTGTGTAAAATGTGACTTCTCGGAAGGACGCCGTGATTTTGGGTCGTGCGTTGCTCTCGGAAGCAGTTTTGTGACGAGTCCTGTAGTTTCCAGTCTGACGCACCGCACGGTGTGTTCCCCCGGCCCCGCTGCCGGCTGTCCACAGGTAAATACGCCATGCGAGACCTGGTCAACCGGCTGCCCGGGGGCAGCGGCCCCGGCGTGCTGTCCGACGAGACGGTGGCGGCCATCTGCTGCGCCCTGCACGAGGTCACCAGCAGGAACATGGAGAACGCCAAGGCCCTCGCCGACACCGGCGGCATCGAGAAGCTGGTGAACATAACCAAGGGGAGAGGTGACAGGTGAGCGGGCGACAGTTCACCCCTGAGCTCTTTCTCTGTTCCACCTGGAATGCTTCGTAATGCAGGCCACGCCTGTTGAGTAAGAAACAGGATCTCTTGCCCTCCTGGCCAGGGCAGCTGGCAGGGGCCCGCGGCGGGACGGAGGCGGCTGTCGGCCCCGCAGGCTCCTCCTGCAGCGAGTTCTCCGCCCGGAGCGTGCGGTGTTCTGAACAGGAAAATGAGCTGGGCTGTGTTTTGAGTGTGCACAGTTGGTGGCACTCTGCACGTTCAAGGGATGTTCAGCTGCAGGTGCGACTGCAGTGATCTGTTGTATGACTTCATTGGCCCATGGAGACAACGTGCAAAGTTATCTGCACTTATATTTATGAGGCTCCAGGCTACACTAAACAAATTTAGAATCTTGTGAACATATTAGGAGTGTCTACTCGTTGATTAACACTATCCACTGCAATTTTTTTCAGTCTCTCAAAACCTGTATTTGGATGAATCATCAGTGACAGAGAAAGGCCTAACACAGATGCCAGGTTGTGGCATTTCATGTCAAATCTCTGCTGCAGTACCACTACCAGCTCACCACCATTTCTCTTTAAAAAGATGGCACAATTCTGTCTTTAATGATAGCTAGAGCAGTTTTCCTCACCTTGCCCTTGAGGGTGTTTTCCCAACCAATAGGAGTTTCCAGTAGCGCAACACGGAACTGAGAACAAAGTCTGACTATGAGGGGATGTCTCAAGACTCTGTTACTTGCTTATTCTTTTTCTACAATTAGGAACTTTGTACAGTGATTTAAAGTATGTTGTCTCCATTTTTATGAAATGCACTAAACAGAATATTTTCATACTTTTTGCAGCCAGTGAGAGTTGCTATCTCAGCCCTTCTGTCTGCATGCCTCACGTGGGTGAGTGGGCAGAGAACCCGGAGGCTGGCCAGGGAGATGGTGGTTGTGTGTAAGCAGGTTCTGGAGGGGAGCTGCCCAGCTCTGTGCACCCCGTGCTGATGCACGCGGGTGTTACCAAGACCTGTCCAGGTGGCCTGGCTTGCATCAGAGCACTAAGGTTCAGGCTGTTGTGGAGCTCAGGAATGTTTCTTTTTAAGTGAAATTAAGTGGCTTTCTAATAATAGAATCTTCTTTACTTCCTTAGATCATCACTGAAAGTGGTCAAGGCAGCTGCCCAGGTACTGAACACATTATGGCAGTACCGAGACCTCCGTAGCATTTATAAAAAGGTAAATTACAAAATTAGCCTACACTGGAAAGCAGTTCTACAAAAACTCCTAATTTAATGAAAAGTTATTTATTTTGAGTTTTTTTTTTTGCCCCTCCACAGGATGGATGGAATCAAAGTCATTTTATTACACCAGTATCAACACTGGAACGAGAGAGATTCAAATCACATCCTTCTTTATCAACAACAAATCAGCAGATGTCACCTGTCATACAGTCAGGTCAGTCAGGAAATGGGAGGAGATTTGCTGAAGGGGTACCTGATACTCCGTGTTTTTAACTCGGATGACCTCTTGGCTCACTACTAATCCTGTCTCACACAGGGAGGTCATGCTGTCTCTCCTCCCTGTTTAAATAAAAGTACTTCATGTACTCTGTGTCATCTTCGCTGCTACTGCTGGCAGTGACAGGGTCTGTGGGTGTCTGCATCAGCATTTCCTGTGGGTCAGGAGCGCTGTGGGGCAGATCTCCCCACTCCCTGCCCAGTGCAGAGCACGGTGGGGCCTCGGGGGTGTGAGTTCTGTGTGGTGCCCCGTGGGCGGCGGGCTGCCCGGGCGCCAACACGCCGCAGCACCCACAGC